AATATCTTTATTTCATTTTTATGTGGTGCTGAGGATTAAATCCAGTGCCTCACGCATGCCAGAGGAGCTCAACTACTACTTGAGCCATATTTCAGCCCTAAAAAAAAATCTTGAACAGTAGCAAAGAAGTACAGACCTAAAATCCATTCATACCCCTCCTGTTTATTACATGCTATATAATAAACATTAAAGAACAATTTTTAAAAAGTTGGTGATGATACTTGGAAATTTAATCCAAATGACCCAGTCTCCATTTTTTTTTTTTTTTTTTTTTTTTTACAAAGACACTGTGAGCTCAATTGTATGCAGATGGAAATAAGACTCATATTAGCGGGCTTGCTTCAGTGATCTCCTCTTCAGTAGCTTGTTCCCACATTTCTACTTAGAATTTGGTATTCTTGTCTCCAACATTCACTTAGCACTCTTTTCATTATTGGAGTGGGAAAGAAAGATTTCACTCTGCCCGAAATAATAACTCCGTATGCAATTTCTCACCTTGAAAAAAATTTGCACCATTGGTAACTTTTAAATCAAAATTTTCTTTTTTTTTTTTTAATTAAAATGCTTTAAAAATGATTCTTTGTAGGAAATCATGGAGTTGGAGTTAAACACTTTCCCGGAGATATTATCGGGTATGACAGACCATTCTGGTGTTTTTCCAGAAGGACAATATCACAAATGTATTCCAGTAGGTCTTGTTTGTCTGAAACTGTACTTTTGGTTTTCCCAATCGAGCTGGGCTGGACACCTGTAGGCATGTGACGTCAGAGTCCCAAATTATCTACCTGTCTCCGGTTTATTTCTTAGCAAATGCAGAGACCCATATCAGGGAGCCCTCTCTTAGCRCTGGGGGGAAATGGATAGGCCCTTCTGTATGCTTCTATAATAAAGACTTCTATCACAAAGAATAAACAACTAAATGAGCGGCAATAAACTTAATTTGCACATTTAGATATGCTTTTCCGAGTTCCGACATTTCAGTTGAAAATAATACTGAAGCAATGAGGCCTATAATTGAACATCCGAAACCTCTCCAGTGGGGAAACCAAAACAAATGTTGCCTGCAAACAAGATCATTTTTATAGCCTGCTGCTACTCTGCTTTTTAATAATTTTCCAAATGCCAGATCGAATAATTCCCCCTTTGATGTGATTTTCATATACCTCCGAGTGCACGGGTTACAATGTCATGGGGATCTCAGTCTTCCAAAAGAGAAGCCCTGAAACTCTTTCCATTGGAGTCCATGACTGTGCCTGTGGGACACGTCCTCAAATTACACTGGGCATCTTGCAAGGAGCTGGCAAGGCAGCGGACTAATTGTGCTCAAGATGTTTGAAAGGCAAATTGCCTCTTCCCGCTGCATTAGTGAAATAGAAATTTTCCGACATGCAGGGAGGGGACCCTGCTTCAGAATCCTCTTAACACAGATAAGCCATATCAGCTAAAAACTAAGCCGGAACATCTCTTACTCTTGTAACCATTATCTTTTTACATGTTATCTAACAACAACATTTTTTGCATGACTGAGGCTGATAAGTAAATCCCAGAGAGGAGAGGATCCTTTTATCAGCTGTACTGAAATTTCTCATTGGCTCCTGACCACCCTATTCTCTTTAAGGTCACTCTATGCTGATGGTGGATCCAGAAAACAAATTATATTTGACTCTGGAATGATAATCTGATAAGCATCTTAGATGAGAAAACACACCAACACACACACACACACACGCACACACACACACAAATAGTAAGCCACCTTAAAAACCAGTTGGTTATGCACTTCATAGTTTTAAAAATTGTTTAAATCCATGCACAACATTTTAACTCCTTCCAAGACAAAAGCTTCAGATTTGTAGGTTAGAAAGCAATAATTCTTTGGTACTGATACGTGCCATGTTCCCGCATGAAACGGCATGAGAGACAGCAGTCTGATTAAGAGATTGTGCATAATGATGTTCACACAGATTATATTCACAGACCAACATTAAAGCAGAGTTTGTAAACATGTTTTTGTTTTTTTGTTTGTTTTTGTTTTTAGTAGCAGGGATTGAACCCAGGGGCATTTAACCACTGAGCCATATCCCCAGCTCTTTTTAAATTATATTTAGAGACAGGGTCTTAGTGAGTTGCTTAGACCTCGCTAAGTTGCTGAGGCTGGTCTTGAACTCACTATCCTCCTGCCTCAGACTCCCGAGCCACTGGGATTACAGGCGTGCACAATCACATCTGGCTCTAAACATGTTTTTATTCATATTGTCTATACATTTTGTGCTCATGAAGTTATTGTATTTATTTATCTATCTGTATGATTAAGTATATATGYTTATATTGTGTAGGGTGGTTCTTTGTCAATGACAAAGAAATACGACCCCCAAATTCCTTAAAATGACATGTGGATATCTCATGAAGGTTAAACTATAACCACATATCTGCGATTAGATATAACGAGTGAAAATAACCTTGATAATCATACCTATTGACATTATATTAAATGGGCCTCTTCTTTGTATATGCACATCCCCCTCTGACACTGTGTTACTGGTAGAACATCAGTGTGTTCTCTGCACCGAGTCTTTAGGGTTTTAAGGTAACTTCAAATTTCCAGCAGAGCTGGGAACTCAAGGTGTATTGGAAAGGTACGATTACAAACCTTAAAATTGGAAAGTCAAAAGCATTTAAAACTCGCAGTTTTTCTGAGATGACCTTTTTTTACCCCCTTTCTCTTTTTGCAAAGTGTTTCAAGAAGTTTAAGTCCTAAAAAAAATGGAAAACTGTCAAATTTTAGACAAAGATGTCAGCATTGAAATTATGCCCTTGAACCCAGCAGTGTAAGATGGTGACCTTTGGATCAATAAATCCATATCTACGGGGCACATGTGGCCCCTGACGGTGTTCTAGGAATTGTAGTTTATTGTTGATTAAAAGCCGGCCAAAAAATCTCCACCCTCTTTGTGCTTCTGTTCTGAAAGGGAACAAAAACCAAAAAAAAAAAAAAAAAAAAAAAACAACCCAAAACTTAATAAATAAAAGAGTTCGTAAGAATATTAAAAATGCTACAGAAGAAGAGACCAAATAAAGTGGCCAGAAACGCAGAGTGGGATCTTGGGATTCAAGAACCCCCCAAGAAGGATACCAGAACTAAACAGAAAGTTAAGCCAGGTTGTTTTAAACCAAGTCATATTGTTTAGCTATTTTCCTCCTGCAGAGAGAGGATCGTATGTGGGGAATCTGGTGTTCTTTATAGGATATCTCAAAAACAGGCAAAACGTATCGTTAGTCAGGTTTTCGTTGCTGTGATCCAAATTCCTGACCAGAACAACTTAGAGGAAGAAGAGTTTATTTTGGCTCATGGTTCAGTCTCTGGTCGGCCAGTTCCCTTCCTCTGAACCTGTGATGAGACAGAGCATCATGGTAGAGGAGAACGGGCTCACTGCATTGCAAGAGAGCAGCAGAGAGAGGAAGGGGAAGGCAGGGGCCATAGGAGGATTCACCCTGCCCAAGTGACCCACCTCCTCTAGCCRCACCCCATCCACTTACACCAATCACCCCGCCATTCAAAGGAAGATGGGGGCAGATGAGGTTGCAGCTCTCCCAATCCAATCATTGCACCTATGCATATTCCTGCATCAACGGGAATCCTACCCAAACAATGACCCTCACTTACAACATGGGAACCATCATCTTGCAGAAAACACGGAAATTGTACACATGTGAAAAACACAGTTGTTATCATCAGAACAAAGCACAGCCTAGTTGTGTCTAAGTTACCCAATTTTTATGTCTCTTCCTTTTCTTTCTCTCTCGACAATTATTCATAGACAATGAGCATCATGGTGCTGAAGGCTTAAGAAACCTTTGGGGAAGGAGTGGTATTCATTCAGTTCAACTCCATAGACAAAAAAAAAAAATGTTTTTGGTTTTCTTCTTAGCCTTTGGAGTGACATGATGCCTATTATTTTATTTTAGTTGCAAAATTATTAGTCCAGCTATGGTTTTCAAATCTCATCAGTCACATTTCCCCAGAGTGAATCAGACAATTGTTGACATAATAGAATATATTTGGGACAAGTTGGCGGAAGGATCTTCCAGAGATAAAGATGGGTATCTATTTTTCATAAGCCATTTTAAATGACGGTTGAAGATGATCTGCTAGTTTCTTTCTATGGAATATATTTATTTTTAATAGAGAAGACGAGAAAGCACCAATCGTCAAATGTAAATCATGGGGGCTTAATTAGCAGATGCAACTGTTTTATGAAGACAGTCGTTTTCATCATCCGGRAGGCAAGAAATGATAGAAGTGACATGGTTTCCAGCAAACACACTGGCTTTATAAATCGGCAAAAATGAAGAAAAGACACCTCTAAGACAAATGATGTCCCTTGGTGATATATGTAGGTACACTTGAATTGATACGTTTAAAAGTCTTAAAGATACACCCTGCAGTTCCACCCCCTCAAATGGTCGGACCTTATCTGTTTGCTGGGAAGAGAAKCGAATAATGACTCCTAAGAACACCATGAGTTCATGCTTTACCTTTGGAAAGAAGTGCTTGTTCAGGTCAATGGAAGAATCTGCATTCCACTACTTACATACCTCAGGTTCCATAAATAAAAGATCTGGTTGTGTCTTAGGTAACCCTTATACACATGCAAAAATTTCATGCACAATGAGAACTTCTGAATGACCATTTAACCAAGAAAAGTGATCCGTCCATGACTTCTATGAAAATATCCACTGCCCCATACACTAAAGTATCAGCAAGAATTCAAATATAGGTTTTAACTATGCCAAAGTGTAGCACCGACAACATTTTCAGTTGCCAAAGGACTCAATCTACCATGGTATCCCACTGGCAAACAGTGCATGGGGACAGAACCCTTAAATAAATTGTGGTGTAGAATTTTTACACATGGCACAAGTTCGACACAGGTCATCGGGTCACGACATGCACATGTATCTCCAACATAGTTTGAATGTAAGTAAGATTAATAAATTACCTTTGACCACGAGACTGCCAGTACTCTTTGCAATGCCAAATTGATTTGTGGCCACACAGGTATATGATCCAGCATCCGACCTGGTAACATTATATATCTTAAGGCTACCGTCCTCCAATAGGAACACTCTATTAAAAAAACAACAACAACAACAACAACAACACATGTTATTAGTGGAAGAAAGGCCATTAAATAGCAATAAATCGTAACTCCTTACTTTCGCTTTCAAATAGCACTAAAATTATGAATATACATGATGAGTTCATTCCTTTCCCTATTTATTCTTGTTCTTGTCGTCCATTTCTAAATCTAAATATTAGAATACATGGCTTAAGTTTTTTATTTTGACAGATTATCGATGATCATTTTACTGTAATGTGAATTATCACTGTTATTTTAGTGCACATTAAAAATCAAATGACTGTGTGGTATCATAATACCCAGCTAATGGACGAACGAGAAATGTAATTACTATGCATTTTGAAAAGCCAGCTCACTTTTGACAGCTGAACTCGGCTTTGGAAAAAAAACCAGAASGATTTTCACAGTCATTTGCTTCATCTGAGAATTTACGAATCTGCTCTGATTTGGCATTTCTTGCAATGAAACAATTGGGTTCAGAATTATGGTAATATTTGTTTGGGTTAGAAAGTTGAAGGAACTGTCTATATGGTAGATGGTCCCAGGTACCAAAGGCAATGCTTATTGTTGTATATCTCCAAAACCAGCAGAGTACAAAGGTTAAGGATCCATGGRTCAGATGGAGTTAAATACTCCTAATACAGAGTACACCAATGAGCAAGATCTGTCAAAGAAGTTACAATCTTTCACAGAAGGATCGATCTCTCTTAAGTTTTCTCGGAAACTGAGAAATATTCTAAAACAAACATCAGAGTGGTATTGTAATCAGGGAAGGCACTGAGACTCATTTAGCAACAACAACAACAACAACAAAATCATCACATGTTTTAATAAGAAGAGAGAGAGAGAGAGAGAAAAACAAAAGGAAAAATAAAAGCATTCACCCAATTTTAGATTTCTATTTTTTTTTTTGTGGCTTACAAATTTAGTGAGCAACCTTTTAAACCCAGTTGTAGGAGCCCTGGTGGTAGCCAGGATTCTACCAAAATACGTGACGACAAACTRATTTTTAATAACTGGTTTTAAAGGAAAGCCAGGCCAGATTATCTGCATGCATGTCATATCCATTAACAATAACAAAACAGCATTTGTTGCATCGAAAACATATCATTGTTTCTAATATGTGTAGAACATGAAATGTAGCTAATATAATTAATTACCCAATTTGAAACACAGAGAATATGAGCCAACCACAATTGCTATGAAACCAGCTTCTGATGTTGGATTTATCATGACTGAAGGATTTCAAATTTTCTCAGTGTACTGAAAAGACCACCTCTGGGTTTTAGAATGTTCCAGGGATGTAATCAGCTTTTAAAACAGTKATTGTGCTAGAGTATTTTCCAGTGGAAGATATTTGATGTCTTATTAAATTTCTGAAATGTCTAGTTTCGTAGGTCCTGGTTTGCATTAAGAATTGAAYTATATTATCACTGACAGATAACAAAGGTATTCTAGTATACAGCAGATTTCTGGCCAGATGCAATTCTACCTTTGATTTAATTAGCAGAGGTCAATGTGAGAAATAGTTACATGCATCTTTTACCCCCAGTATTTTAAGAATGATGAAGAATTTTTTCAATAGCATGACAACATTAAATATTGGTCAATAAAACACTTTACATGATAAAACAAATATATCACTGATATCTACATGCCATCAAATGGATTTGCTTTACAGGTAAAAAAAAAAAAAAAAAAAACTGAGTAAGAAGGAACATCCCACAAAGACCAAACAGAATAAAAGCAACTGACATTTTMAGATAAGGCAGAATGCACACGGAAGATCGGGTGAAAGATTTTAATTGATGGATTTGGTAACATTCATCAAGAAAGATAAGGATTGTTTTTTTTTTTTCATTCTATTCTTCTTTTGCAATATATTAAAAAAGATGCTTTCTCTGGATTTTCAGTCATTACCTATCAATGAAAGATAAGAAAATATTCTGTCTTTCCTGCAACATTAAAAAGCATTTAAAAGTAACAGGAGACCCAGATACAGAAAAGCTGGGCTATCTGTAAAAGATATGAAAGACATTCTCGTAATAAAACCCAGGAATTGCATGAACAATTAGCAACAGAAATAGACTTACAGGAAAGAAAATAGAAGGTGATAATTGCACATCGCAGATACAATGTCTCCATCAGGATTTAATGTTGAGGTCATACTATTAATAAGACCACAGATCACAAAAGTATATATGGGAATGTGAGAGGCCCATGGAATCACGGCTAGGACTCCAAATATTCAATAGTGAAGTGAATTTAAATTTCTTTTAATTGACATTTAAATCATATTTAAATTATATTAACTATATTTAAATTTATTAATGAAGTATATTAAATAGAATCAAATTATGTTTAAATTTAATCATATTAAATCATGTCATCATCGTTTTGCTTTCTTTTGTTTGTGGTACAGGTCATCTGTGGCACAAGACCTTAGGAAAGTTAGGCAGACTCTCTATCCCCGACCCACATCCCCAGTCCTTCCATAGTCATTTTAACGAATAACTGCAAAGTAGAACAATGTTTTTCTTCTTCATTTATTCAGTAAATCTTTGATCAATTCCCCACTATGTTTGTAGCGATATGTTAGGTGGTACAATAGGCCAGGGCGAAATAAAATGTGTTAAATATACAGGGTAGTTTTTTTTTCCATGATCTTGAAACTCAGACATTAAAATTTAAGGAGGGTATGAGCTATTGTTGGGAACCRCCTCTGTGCAGACCCCTACTTGGTGTGCAATAAATAAATGTCAGCTCATGGAAACCTGGAGACCAACTCCTGGGTTCACTTTTGCTCTCCATCCATGTTATAAGCCAGGGAACAGGCAGAGAGAGAAGCGCTAAGTGTTTCAAGGTACCCACCTGGCAGTGTAGACCCCAAATCCTGACCATGCTATCACTTTAGCTCACAAAGCTTTTATTATAGCAAGAATCCCTTCACGGTAGGTTTCCAAAACATAATTTGCTTATGGTTACTGTGATTAGCATAAACTTGATTTTCTACATATATATGTGTGTGTGTGTGTGTGTGTGTGCATAATTTCATTTGCATAGAATGATGCTTAATAGTGAAGGTTCTTCATTTGAACTTCAGAGACGATAATAACCCCCTGAAATATCATGAAATGTTAGTGTGTGTGTGCACACATATGCATTTTTCGAGGTTCTTGACTTTTCTGAGATCTTCCAGGCAGACTTGGTACCTACCATAGTACCCTCTGCTCTGGGAGAGTTTTAACCCCAGATGCCTTGATGTGTGTGGTACAGTGACAGTGATGCCTATCTTAAGAATTCTTTTTCATCTTCACTCATGCAATTATGGTGTCATTACAGAGTGGGTGGCAAGGTAGGCTTTGGAGTTAAATGACTTGTGACTGAATCTGAGCCCCAACGTTTAATACCTGTGTGACCCGAACCAAGCTAATGAACACTCCAAGTTCTGAGTTTTTTTTTTTCCTGTGTGGCATAGTGATACCATATTACCTGTGTCACGGAGTCATGGGGGTTAAGTGATATTAATGGTTTAACATGTTTAAGAATGTCCTTTACTCCCAGTTAGAAGTCAGTAGGCAAGGTTTTAATGAACCAATTTATTTTCCTCACAAGGTAAGCACTTCTTTAAGTCCAGGGGGAATAACAACAATGGGGGAAGGAGAAAATGTTTTGTGAGAGTCCMGTTTGCACAAAGGGTTCCAAAGGGTAGATATCAGGCTTTAAAAAAAAATGATGGACACATAACATGTGTACAGGTTTTTGAGATGCAGCGTGGGGGTCTGATTCACGTATACTTGGGTAGTGACCATCTCAGGAAATTAGAAGATCCATCTTCTTACATTATGGCCATCCTGTTATGGGGAATACATTCATATCCCTCTTCCTTTGCCATTTTGAGATATGAAATGCGTTATTTTAAAAATGCATTTTTTTAAGTTGTCGATGGACACAATACCTTTATTTTATTTACATCGATGTAGTGCTGAGGATCAAACCAAGTGCCTCACATGTGCTAGGCAAGTATTCTACAACTGAGCTACAACCCCAGCCCACGGAATGCATTGTTTTTAATGATACTCATCTGCTATATCATAGAACACCAGCGCTTTCATTCTCTTATCACACAAGAACATTGACCCTGCTGATCAACCTCTTCCTGGTAACTATCATTCAGCTTGATTTCTGTGAAATCAGCTTTTTAAGATTCCATTTAATAAAGGGAGAGGATGCAATATTGTCTTGCTGTGTCTGTCTTATTTCATATAAGAAAATGTGGTCCAGATGCACAGYGGAACACTATAAAGCCACAAACAAGCAGAGAATCCTGCCTGCCCTAGGTGACAACATGGATGGATACAAAGGACTTTGTGCCAGGCTTGTAGAAAGGAGTCTGAGGGTAGAAAAAACTGTCCCCAGGACTCTGTTTAACTACTTACATTCCTCTCCTAATTCAAATCTTTCCAATCCTTGGTTTTTCAATTTTTATTTTGGCAATGATAATATAGTTGTCATGAAAATTAATTAAATGTCAGGCATCAGTCCAATTCCCCTTCTTTGCTGACACTAACATTTGGGATTTTTGCTCTCCTTCATGATTTAGGCCACTATCTTGGATTCCTGTGTGGGCCATTGCTGATGCCTCTTCTCTTAAACACTCATAAAACTGAGCCATGTGGTTTTAACTAACCGGTTTTGATCTTTTCCCGGACAGCCTTGGTTCTGGTGTTATCGAGTTCTGACACTTGACTTGTGGGGTCTGTTTCTTCCACTATAATCATTTCACATTTCAGTAAAATAATATTCTTTCTTTCAAGTCTCTGTTCTCAAATATCCCCTTAATTAGGATATTTCAACTGTTCACATAATTGAATAGAAAAAAAAAATCTCCCCCAAATTACCAGCGCTTAGTATTCTATTTGGATGATTAAATTACAAATTGTGACATTTGCATTTAAAATGTTCTGCAAAAAAAAAATTGTGAATT